GGCACACAAGTTCATTAGAGCCCTGAAGCAAGTAGGCAGATGGTTGGCTGTAGATCACTGAGGCTGGAAAGATGTGCATTACAGTTTCAGTAATCAGTTAATCATTTTAATCAGTTTTGTTAAAATTAATATAATGGAAATAAAAGATTAATGTTAAATGCTAAACAGCAGCTCACCAAACACATCAGTTATGGTGGCTTCAACAAGTGCTTCAGATGACTCATGTTTGACAACACAGGAATACGTAGACCTTTTGTCTTCAGTTTTGAATATGTTTAGTCTGCTGCTCACAGAGTAAGAGCTGCTCCCTGAGTATTTCCATGGAGAACTGTTAACATCATGCATGGATGGGAGAGTCTGGCCATCTTCTTCCCAGTGCACTATGATGTTTGCAGGGAAAACTCCAGACACTAGGCAAATAAGCGTTAGGATGTCAGACACTGAAACTTCAGAGGCAGTTGGTTGCATTGTCTTCACTGTTGGCACACAAAGGTCTTGAAAAACACCAAAGGGACAGAACCATAAAAATATAGTCACAACCAGAGGAACATGAAGTTTAGAAAGAGCTGTAATATATTTGTTACATTTCTAACATTACCTCTGGTTTTGCTTATATGGTCTTCATTGCCCTGATTGGAACAAGGATGTTTTCCTTCACAAAACCCTTGTTTATCTGCATCCCAATTTTCTGCTGACACATTAAGGAAGTTCTGTCTCTGTCCCATTGTTGTAACTCACTGCAGGATTAGTTAGGACATAACAGTCAGCAATTTTGTTGCCAGCTGATTTCCAGGTGATGGAGAAATCTTTAAGACTAGGGACAACCAGAAGACAGATAACAGTCACAGGTCCTTTGTTCTCAGGCTGCTACAGTGATGATGGTCCCTGAACATAAACCCCAACTAGCTGTGAGGATGATGGAGGTACTCGGAAAAAAGACCCATCCAGAGCATAAGAGTCTCTGTGATCTTGACTCCTTACTTTGGACCAGAAGAAGCTCCATTGATGGGTCCACTAAAGTGAGACAAATCAGGGCATGAATTAATCTATTTAACAGAAACCATTGAAGTATAAATCAACAAAGTTAAATCAGCTGCCTAAAAGGGAAGCAAGAGTAGCTTTTACCAAAAATATAGATGGTAGAGTTTGCTCTCCTCTGCATGTTAAATGCTTTACTTGCTTCCAGTTGTGTTTTACTCTCTGCACATTTTTTCATTCGTGGCTCTCCATTAATCAGCCAGGAGATCATGGCATCAAAATTAGTGTGGACCCAACATGTTCCTTGCACATTAGAGTCTGACGCTAAAGTCTTAAACTTGGGAATCTCCACATGAATGAAAGGTGAATTTCTGTGGAATTAAAGAAAAACATGCTAATTAATAAACTTTATCTTAAGACTGTTTTTAATTTGCTTTACATATTCCTGCAAATGTGCATGTTGAATATGGGCTTTGAGACAGTAGCTGTACATACTCACTGTGACAAATGCTTATTGTCTTCTTATATTCAGTATAATTGTGATTAGCTTTGCAGGTAAAAGTTGATCCTTGTCCCCACACTGAGAGTTTGCTGCTCAGGCTGAAGGTTTTCTGCTCTGTCCCTTCACTTT